CCGTATGTGTTGGCCGCAGAGATAGGTGACGGCTTCGATTGTTTCACAACGTGACTGTCCCCTGATAAGAAGGTTCGTAAAACCAGATACGGGATAGGCAAATTGATGTGACGGTTTAATAAACAGTCGGTCGACATCCATGCCCTTCTAATCTGCCTTCTTATGTGATCGTCTTTTCGGCCCACAATTTAAACGGCGGCAAAGTTGAAGACATGCCCCATGTGCGCAGCATTGGTTGCTACTTCTGGCTCTGCGTCCACTATTCTTGCAGCCAACTGGTGCTCATGCATCCACCTTTGTAGCTTTCGGTCGGTTTCTCCAACAAAGTTCAATATCCCTTAGCTATACTGAAGTCAGCAGAAGACGGCTGACTTTTCCTGCTTAGAAATGGGGTCTATCGGCCGCATCACTTTTTGCCGGATCGTGGAAGTAGCCCTGTGGTCAACCTCTATTCCGAGAGGTGCGATGGATCTAGCTGCGTTTTCAGAGACTCCTTTTATGTACGGAATACTGCGCCATGACCTTGGCACACAGCGCTCCTCGGTTCGCTGAGCGGCTGACTCGAGTCATACTGCTGGATGTTGCAAAGGATCTATCTATATCTCAAAATAATGTATCGTAACGATAAAACAGAAGCAGTCACAGAAATTTGTAATGGATATTTTTCTTTTTTTACCCGTTTTCCTCCTTTAAGTTTGAAATATATGTTTTTACAAGTTTACAGCTACACAGAATAGGGCTGATTGTTTTAAGAATTTATTATATCACAGTTTAACTTATCATAATATTTGAACAAACGGGTTGACTCACTCGATGAAACGTTATCATTTGGTCATCTTTGAGGATGTCGTCGGGTTCAAAGAGAAAGTTTTTGATCTGCACTAAAAACCGATGTTAAATGGTTAATTCGTGGTTTAACTTAAGCTTAAACTTCAAACTTAAAAATACCTAATACTGTTGAGTTTCCTTCTTAAAAAACTCGACGCATGTGAGATGTAACACACATGTGTAGAGTTGCAAAAGGTTACAAATAAAGGCAACAAATATATCACTGGCCACAGCTGGCTTATTAACAGCTGATATCCAATGATACCCCTACTTCAAGTTGCAGGGTAGCTTGAAAACACCCGTTTCTTCAACCGTTTAATGGGTATAAGTTTAAAGGATACTTTTCTATTTGATACAAGCACTCATACAGCTAGCGAAGGCTCGCGTTCAGTGATATAAAGGCCATATTTACTTACACGTTATCTTTTATTACCAACACCGACGTTTTCAGATGCACTTAAGTAAACATTAACTCAGATTTTTGTTCTCAAAATGGAAGATCTTCCAATAAATCACCACAAAGAGTAGCGCACTTTACCTCGTTTGGCCACCTTTCGTTGTTTTCGAGGCTCAGACAAACGGATATAATTGTCATTTTTGACGATAATGCGTTTCATCATCTCGGAGATTTGATCAAGCACTTTCTCCGTGGGGTTCGCATGCTCTGGTTTTGACGCGGTCTTTAGGGCAAAAAACATAAGAAGATAAAAGATGGCACTGGATTAGAAATATTGATAGCATTAGAAGTGGTAATAATATCTCTTAGTAATAGTACTCTTATCATTGGCAACAGAAGTACCACCAGTAATCATCTTGGAAACAAGAACTGTTTCAACAGCAAAACCCCAAAAATCCCCTTTCTGGAGAATAATACGTGGTCATACCACTGTGATAGAATAATCGAAAGGTTTCAATGTAGCCCCATTTTCGTGTTATGTACGGAAAACGGAAGGCTGTTTTTAGGCAGAACAAATGTATTGTATGTAAAACGGAAGGCTGCCTGTGGTTAGAATGTCATGTAGGCAAAACAGAAGACTGTCTGTAGACAGGACGTGTACTGTGAACGAGGGCACAGTTCAAGTGACGAGTCATGTTAACCAAGGGGGCTTTATGACGTAGCTTAGACTAAGGGACTGAAAGGTAGCCAAGCAGGGCAAAGATAGGGGTGAACCCGCTGGCCAGGGGTGAAGGCGGGCCAGTCAGAACAATGAAAGGCGTGAACACGTGTCCGTGACCTTAATCGGCGCCTGACGCGCGCATCGTGTCATGATGTCCCGACACTACGGGTGGGCATACACAGCAGATAGGAACACCAATGATGTAAAGAATTGCAGCAAAAGAGAGGCAAGAAAATTAAAGTAACTAAATGCAATGTGTTAGCCAATGGCTAAGGCTCTGTAGTTCGCATAGCAGATACACAGTCGCAGCAAACTGACAATGAGCCTACAATCTCTTATTGCGGACCCGAAGGGACTACTACAGTGCTGATTATTAGCTATACAACATCCAGTTATATGGTCTTCTTTTGACCCGTAGTGGGAACACCCCTGAAGATATGTTGCTAGTTTTGTGGGCAGCCTGAGCTAGACACGTTTCTCATCGTCAGCAAGAGCTCAGTGTTGCTGCCCCCAATCCGGCACCGTTACTCACTTGGTGGGCTTAACTCAAAACCTGGTTCTACATAGTGCGTCAAGACATGGAAGATGTTTTTGGCCTTTCGGTGGTAGGCATTCGT